CTGTTAGTATTTGTCAAATCTATCAGTAATCCCATTTTCAGTCTTTGACTCTTTAATGATGTAAACAACATGTTCATAGAAAAACGACATTCTTCAGAAACTTGACTATCATATTCTTCTGATAGTGGTGTTTTAAATGCAAGAAACTTATTGTTTAGTAATTTTATACTTTTTCGAGGACAGTGTAACCATCGTGGAGGGATCATCCCTTTGCTATTTTCGGCACTCCAACTTGACATTGTTTGTTCACTTAACCTCAACTGTATAAATCAAACTTTTTCTATCACAAACACTCACTTTCGCTTCCAAATGTTTGTTTTTACGTTTTGATTATGCAAATATTGCGTAAAATTGAGACTGCACTTGTATTTTCGCAAGAAAAAACAGATCAAAAAATAGACGATGTGCACTGTTTGACATCTAAGTCTCAAGTGATGTCAAACAGTTTTCGTTGCCTAGACTACCAGTCTTGTGCGCCGCCTGGTGGTGAAACTTAATATCGTGTCACCAGACGCCACCTGGTAGCGTGTTAAATGCCTCTACTGGCCTAGCTATGAAGCATCAAACTTTCCGGCGGTAATGGCATGTCGTGGTTATTATTTGAATTTGCTAAAATTTATAAATAAAAACGAGGCCCGTTGAGATGTCAGTCAAAGGCATTTTCACGGTTTTTTGAATTTAAATTCACATATGTAGGGTGTTTTTCGTCGATTAAATTTTATAATGTCCAGATTTTTCGGTAAGTGGTTTTTTATCACAGAAAATTGTTGTGTAGTTGATATGATGTTGTAGAGATAAGATGACGGTCATTCTAAATTGTTAGTGGTAATTAGATCTCTTGGCTATTGTTACACAAGCAATACGGTTGTATGGTTCGCTCATTTTCAGTAGCCAAATGAGATTCATCTCGTCCCACCATAAACAAAACAAAGAGTAAACACTTTTTGGCCAATGTAACAATACAACGATACTTCTCTACGGTCCATCATTCAATATATCTCATCAATCACAAGATAGTAGTAGCCCTCAATAATCAGATTATCCCACTGAAGGTCCAGAAGTTCGTAACACTAAAATACAGCGTTAGCATTACCTTGAGTCACCTTAAATTATATTAATCTCATGAAGTAGGTAAATTTAACGTATTTTATGTTTTCCCAAACGAATTATTTTAAACTATTCTTATAATAATTATCATCATATTTTTTTTATTTTTCAACTTTTCCAACGATTATTATCGACGAATTCACGATAAATTTCTACATTAATTGGAATATAAAATCCTTCGGCATAGAAAGTTAATCAAGTTTTGATACTCAAAAAAGTAGTGTCGATTTTTCCACGCATGATTCCATTAATGATAAATCAGCAAAGCATCATCAAAATAATTTAGATATTGTTGATGACAGGGATCTCCATTTCTAATTCTTTCATCCGATTTTGATCATCACATCTGTACAGCTAGGCCTAGTTTTTTTTTCTACTTTGTAAATCATATCAAATTAAAACGATTTATTTTATGGAGACGAATGATCCAAATTCGACTATGGTAGTAAAATAAAAAAGCTCACGATTATTATACAAATAATTCTAAAAAATAGAGTATTTTATGTACAATAGTTTTTTCATATTTCTATTTTTTGTCGTTATAGTATCACAATCTCTATTCTTTATTCTAGAAAAGTCAATTCAATTGTAAGGTAAATTTTAGTATATATATAAAAATCTGTGAGCAGTACAAATGTGTTAATTAAAAAAATAAGCGAAAAGAAGATTCTTAACATAAATTTGCATACAAAGAATCTCATACATATGAGTAATTCAAATAATTAATTAACGATAATAAATTTATAAATAAACAAATATACATACAAATTTCATTTTAAATTCACATTTTCAACAATGTGCACATTTACTACGTTCAATTACTTCTTTTTCTATTGAATTAAAAAATTATTTATAATTTTTTTTAAACCCATACACCATGTGGGTTTTTACTAGTTGGAACTGCATTCTCCAGTTGCCTAGGGGATCCTATTATTTTACGAGTACTACCGGGTTTTTGAACACCTAGAGCAGTTATTTAATATTAACGATTTTTATATTTTATATATTAAAATATTCTTTTTTAAGTAAACTCATTGATTACCTTCTAACAAATTTTTAATTTGTTCTTCTTGACATCCAACAGTTAAACTTTGTAAGTTAGCTTCTTTCATTTCATTGACTAATCTTTCTAATTGCAACTTTTTTTCAATGATAGCAGATTCTATATTTGTAACTTCTTGCTTTAGCAAATCAGCTGACTGATTTGAGTGATCTGATGAACGTTTTGCTTGATCTAATTCAGTTTGTAATCGTTCTACTTCATTCATTACTTTTCGTTCCATGAGCAAACGTTCTTCAGATTCTCGAGTTATACTATGTTGTTCCATACTAATTTCTTCCATCAATAACCTTTATATAAAATACATTTTAATTATTGTTATAATAACTAATTATACCAACAGAAAAACAATTATGAATTGTACCTTATTTTATTTTTACATTGCAATAATTCCGTTTCGCAGTTGGCAAGTTTCGATCGAAGTAAAGTAATTTCAGATTTTAAAGTTTTTTCTTGTTGCCTTACAATTTCACTTTCATCTTCTGTATTAATCAATTCATTCAACTACAAAGTTTAAAAATGAATTAACAAAGAGAATTACTCAGACATCATTAGCGAATTTGATTGGTAGTAATTAATTTACCTGTTCTTCAATAAGACGTCCAGTTGATTCAATACGATTTATTTCTTGCGAAATAAAATCCATTTGATTAAAGTGCTCCCTATTTTTATTCTCCCAATACATTATTTCAGCATCTAACTGTTAATGTAATTTTATCAAATTTAGAACATCAACATAATTGGCTACAAACACGTATTTTTTTCAGAGACATTAAGCAATTCATACCTTTGTGAGATCAACTTGATGTGCATTAATAGTATCGCGTTGCTTATTGACTAGTCTGATAAGTTCAGCATATCGTTGAGTGTAAGCCACAGCTACCATATTCTGTGGTTGACTAAGTTGCGGTCTATTGGATTGCATCAATCCCTTTGTATCTTGCATCTCCTTTAATAAAACAACAATTTCACAATAATATCAATAAGTGGTTAAAGGAAAAATTAGATTTTATATCTACTAATTAAAGTAGAAATTGCTATAACATCAACTTTCTACTCAAATAAATTTCTATAAAAATGAAAGTTAAAGTAAACTCAAACACTTATATATTTGCAAAGATCGGAGCTAATGAATTCTTGGAATTTTCAAGTCATTGACTTTTACACATATTTACCTGACTACGTTTTATTTTCATCATATTGGTAGCCGAAGATTGCTCATCTTTGGAAATACCCAAACCTTCACTAGTCTGATTTTCTAGTGCTTGTAACTTGGCAGAGTTTGTTACAATTGGTGGAGGTGGATCACGATAAGGCGGCAATGTTCGTATAGGTGAAGAATCTGGACCTGGTGGATCACGATAAGGTGGACTTTCTCGATATTGTTTGTGTGTTAAATTTCTAAAACCTAAATAATAACATTAAAAAATCCGTGTTAAAATATTTCATTTACAGATTATGATTAGTTATTATTATTATTTTTAATTATTTGCAATGCTGTCTATTAGCCCTTTAAAGAATGATACTGCAAATATTTTGATTAAAAAGTAAAACTATTCATCAATTTACAACTTGGAAGAATGTAGAAAATTTTGTAAAAATGTAGGTTAATACACTGTTGTTAAAGCCAGTTCGAGTATGCAATGTAAGTTATGGTGTTTTACCTTCACTACTTGATACTCTGGTGGGTGATTCATTTGTTCTAAAAGCAGCTTTCCGTGAATGTACGTCTTTTACTTTAGTTTGTAATGTTGGTTGTACTACGGCAATATTTTCCATTTGTACCTGAACGAATAAATTTGATTCCATGTTAGGTTTTACTTCACTGTTTTAAAACAAATAAAAGTTTCATTTATTTTTTATGTAGATTATGAAAATAAATAAAAATATAAAATCACCAATTTTTTAAACAATTAGACTGAAACACTAATTATTAAATTGGAGCACTTTACTGATCGTTAGTGTTATAATAAGTAAAAGCTATTAGTAAGAATGAAAGCGACCAGTGTTTTAAAACGCTCTACTTTTTCTTTTTTACTACGTTTTCATCTTTTGGTCTTGATATCCTATTGATAGATCTGTTTATTTAACGGATTATCAAATAATGTATCAAAAAGTTTGATCCTAGAAAGCAATTCCAAATTATAAATTACAAATATTTATTTATATTCTCAGTTAACTTTTTAATTAAGCCTACAATCGTAATTCCATCGTCAGCACTATAATCCTAATACAACAATGATTTATTTAGTGTATTTAAACGAACACTAAGCACTGAGAACAAATGGTTGTAACTTATAATTTAGAATTCAAAATTATTTTTAAAAATTATTCTTTTTTAAGATAGTTTTTTTAAGATCACAAGCGATCTTAATGTTGATATGAAACACTAACTTCACTGTTATTATCTGATGTTGTTCCATGAAGCCCACTAAATGTGAGAGACTTCCGAATATCTCGATTCCTCTTGAGTACTTCCGGTGATTCATGACTTTCAGCCGCAGAGTTTCCGTTATTGTGGGTACCCTCTTGACTTCTATTGTTTATAAGTGGATCAAGAGCTGGGCCTTGTACTCCATTTGGGCGTATTCCGTAAGCTGATCGTGCATTTAGTGGTCCTTGTTGTGGTTTATTTCCATCCGAATTTGAGCGTCTTAAAATCAATTGCACATCTGATGCGTATTCTCCCCATTTCATCAGAACCTGAATGATTTTTATCAGTTAGTTATTCGTTTTATTTTTTATTTAAGTCATAAAAATATGAAAAACTACCGTGAGAGGATTTTCAAATGGTGCTAAAAAACGTTCATTGTTACGCCAGCGTTCAACAAGAGTAAATCTTCCAGATTGTGCAGTAGCATGAGCAAGTGCATACACAACATCCTGAAAACAAAACAAAGATATATAGAACAATTGATCATTTTTATTCAACTGTTTATGAATTTTAAAAAATAACAAACTTGACAGGTTGTCGTTTCAGTGACACCACAAACAATACGTTGTATCCCTTCTACCCAAACTTTTAACTCCATTATTGTTTCATCTGTGACAGTTTTTGTACTGCATTCTTTTCACTATTCTACAAATGTACACTAACAAAACCTCAATATAACAATAATTTTCCCACTTATTACTATTAAATGGATTTCTCTAGCATTTAATCCACTTATATTTATTGAATTAAGTCGATTCTTTGACCAGAGAAAGGTTATAATTCACATAAACTCCAATAAATAACTCATTCCACTCTTTAAAACCTCCCATTTATTGACCAAGTTGTCCGCACCCTAGTTTTTTGTAATCTAAGCATTGTATGAATCAATAAGTATCAAGCAACTATTTAGTAGAATGATTGTTGTGTAGTAAATTGTAATGAAAGGAATGGCACTCTTGAAAAAAAAAATGTAAACACGAATATAGAATGTGGTATATGAATCGACGTGTTTACAGCGCTTTCACGGTATTATTATGAACTACAATTACTCACAACTTGTGCCTAACTTCAGTTCAAGGTCTGTAAATAAATGGAATTGGACTGAAGAAGATCATTACTCCAAAATTGTGAAGACATTGTTAGACCTCAAATGACAGCCACTGATTCTTTTATAACTCCAGCCAATTATTTTTTACGCACTTCCTTACGTTAATTTACATGATTTTGATTAGAAAATTATGCAAAGTAGTATAGTTCAAATTCCCCTTTTGAAGTGAGTGCGCCACTAAACATAAAAGTAAAATAAGAATGATAAGAAGTGGTATCATACAAGAAGGATGATAAGAGCTTGAAAGGGGTGATAGTATCCTTCCTACGTTGTCTAATACGACTGATGTTGACGCCTAACTGAAAGTAATAAACAATAGTGGTATTATAGTAGCTAAACCTTGTATCAAGTAGTATGTCCTTATATTATACCAACATACCGGTCATTGAACATAAATATAAATCAAAAGTGCATACGTTACATTGACGTATGCCGACGTAGATACTTTTCAAATATTTACAAGTGCATAAGTAGTGGATTCTACTTCTTTTAGGACATTTATTTTAATCGTATGATGTCTGTGACATCCACAATTCGTGTGGAAGTTATCAGTTCGTTCAGACCTCGCAAAAAATATATATAAAGGTAATTTTATTGATATTATTTATTTTGTTTATTAAAAAAATTAAAATAGTATTAAAAAATAAACAACTTTAATTTATTAATTTAATTAAATGTATGAATAATTTTGAGAACATTTAGTCAAAAAATATAATCTTTCAATTACCCATTTTCCGCTTTTGATATGATAAATCTACTATTATTTACATTTATCTGTGTTTAAAATTTCACTTTATCATTATTCAAGTTCTACGCGCTTTAAAGATTGAGCTCTAAGTAGGTAATTCGATTAGATAAGGTGTAATAAAAATAAACAGAGGCTCCAGAGTATGATCTTAATGGTACTAATCATGTTTGTGATAAAGTGGATTGCATGATACAATAGATATAGTGTTGATGCTAATGTAGTAGGAAGTAAGAACTTAAAGAAGGGTTTTTTACAGGATGTCGTGAGTAGAATGAAAGAGTACTAGTATGTTGGATAAGCGGCGGCTTCATGGCCACGTGTCGCCGCCTTATAGCCTTGGATTCGTGATTGCCCTCGTTTTCTTGGGCTGTTTTTCCTTTTGGATGCTAATTGGATGTCCTGCTGAAGTAGTAGTTCCGGGATATATTCTTTTAGTTCCTGATAATGCATCAACTTTACCTATTCCATACGCATTGAACGAACTGCCGTCCAGTGATGAAACGACACTAATCAACCTTAGAAATTTTAAGTTTATGATTAATCATGATCCTTGTAATAAAACACAGCCACTATTGTTAATACTGATCCACTCAGCACCGAGTAATGCTGCTAAACGTCATGTTATAAGAGAAACTTGGGGAAAACAGACACCAGAAGTAGTAATTTTATTTTTCGTGGGACTGACTGAAGAGTATCAATCAAGAATTATTCAGGAGGATAACGAATATCAAGATATTATTCAAGGAAATTTCTTTGATGCGTATAGAAATATTACGTATAAACACGTCATGGCATTAAAGTGGGCCACATACTATTGTTCAAGTAATCTACATTTTAAATTTGTATTTAGTTATTGAAATTTAATATGTTTTTTATATTTACATATTGAACATTTGATAGTCCATATCTTATAAGGATAATTTAATAAATCAATAATATATTTTCAGGTGCCAAGTACATTTTAAAATTGGACGATGACGTTTTTGTTCATATTCCGGCGGTATTAGATTTTCTAAAACATGATCTTTCACCGTGGGGAGCAAGACGGTTAATTCTATGTGAACTATTGTCAAGAAAATTAGTAAAACGATCATGGCGTTCAAAGTGGAGAGTTTCACCCCTAGAATATCCTGCTAGGTACTATCCAGATTACTGCTTAGGTTGGGCTATTTTATATTCACCGGATAGTGTATTTCTACTGTATAAAGAAGCTCAAAAAGAACCATATTTTTGGATTGATGATGTCCATATCACGGGAACAGTGGCTAGGAAAGTAAATTTAACTCACAGTCCGATGCATTCTCTTATATTGACAACTAAAGACATGCAAGAACTTATTAAGAATCCAAGTGCTCATAAGGAGTATTTATTCGGACCGCCTAACTTAGCAGAGGAACACATTAAAGCTTTGTACCGATTAAGTATTTCTAATTCGGTATGACCGTAAGTAATTGTCTTTATAAATAATTATTCATCAAATAATAGGTATAAAAACTTGACATATAGATAGAATGAGAACAATTCATTTCCAACCCTAAGGGATATAGACAATGGCCTTGATTGTGCGTTTGATTTTTTATATTTATATTGATCGATACTCAACCGAAAGAGTTTTTTTAGGTTTTATTCAATATTTTTATATTCATTTAAAGTTTATACAACTTTTCTTTCATTTTATTTATCAATTATCGATGGTAAAGTCATTTTTAATTATGATTTGAGTAAAGAAAATTAGTGGTTATTTTTATTATCAACTAATACTTTACTAACATAGTTACCGAATCTCATACATGTGATAAAAAAGATGGCAATGAAATATTAATTTCAAAGTCAGCATATTAATTGAAATACTTACGAAAAATTTGAGCTTAACATGTTACATCTTTATTGTTTTAAAGTTATACTTTTCATTTAAACAATTCCCTATAAGTTAAAGAATTATGGGAATAATTATTACAAGTAATACGAAAATTAGTGATATATTCGCCAAAATAAAAGTTAAGAAAGTGTGTAAAAATGTAAATAATATAAAGAAATGAGATATTTGGAAGCTATTTAAACATGAAATTCTACGAAATTTCGAACAAATTTAAAAAAGTAAATGTTATTTAATTAGATTACATGTCATGAATACAAAACTAATGAATTACAGATAAAAAAATGTATTTAACATTTTTTAATGCTATATACATTTATAATGTCATAATTCTAGACTAACATCCTCTTCATTGCTCAATTATCTTGATATTTAAATGAATATTATTTTTATTAGCATTTATAGATATTTGCTTAATTGAATAGCTTTCGTACAATCATATTAAATGTCTGTGAAATATTTGTAACATGCAGTTTAAGTCGTTATTTCAAGCACAAACTAATTTATTTGAAATTATTTACTATTTTTAATCACTTTACTCACAAAGAATCTATCTATTTTTGCATCAATTTTTCTTGAATATATGATGTATTGTTCCGCATTGATACTTTTTAGCACAAAATTTTTTATTTATTTAACCAGGTATATGTTTTACATACCTCGCTCATTTATTTAACTAATTTAAAGTATCTCGAGTATTAAAAAAATTTCAGCGCAAAATAAGAGATTTTTTTTCCGTAAAGAGTCATAAAAAAGCTCGAAGATGTAAAAGAGAACATGAAAAATTTAATGTAAATTTTTTATTGGAGTTTTTTAATTACAGTTTTTGGCTAAGAAAAATTTTACTCTGTCTAGACGAATTTTTTTAAAGTTTGAGATACTTTAGCTATTTACTAAAATCCATATTGAGTAATCTTTAATAATTATTAAAGTTAACTAGTCTAACGAAAATAATCAAAAATACAACATCTGAATTACCTAATACAGTTTCAAAAATCATCTTTAATAGCTTTAGGTTTTAATCTATTAAACGAAAGAGAATTGAAAAAAGTTTATAATATTTATTCAACAGTATTAAAATGAAATCGTACTATAAATATGTCATTAACTTTTTTTAAATTAATATTAATAATAAATAAAAATATTATGTACTTTTTAGAATTATGTTTTGAAAAATAGAAATAGTTAAGTCAAATATTAAATTAAATAACAGCTAATATTATCAATTCTTTTTCGTTTATTGGAATGCAAAAAATACTCACCAATAAATTTCATAGTGATAATTTTAATTTTATACATATCAAATTCCGTTATCACTAGCGGCAGAAACTAATTAATAGATGTAAAAAAGTTATTTTGATGAATTGTATTAAAAAAAAAAAACAAAGATTATTCTGAAATAATTAGTTAGCTCAATAAACCAACATTTAGTCATGGTACTAATCATTCTTATAATTATCATTGCCTATGTATACATTGATCATACGCATAGTATTTATTAAATTATCTTACACGCATAATGAATTACTTTAATTTGAAAAAATATATTTTTAATTCGGTTCTAAAAGGTATTATTTTTGTGGTAATTAATATTAATTTCGAATTGAAAATGACATTAAGATGCCAAATAATGTGACAAAACATGAAATAAGATTACTGTATTTACATTAACATGTGCCAATCTGTGTCTTAAATTATCCAAAATATGAAGAGTTTTTTGAATTTGTTTAATGCGTGTATTGCAAACGGCCAAAATTGAAATTTTCGAATATATATATATACATATATGTTGTATACTCTTTTTTGTCTTTATTTGAATAATTAAATTTGATTGTGCATGATGTACGTTACAGTATAAGTGATATTTTAAAGCAGTAAACTCAAGTTCAATACTCAAAATCCGATTATAATATAAAAATTGTAAAAAAGATATTGATTGTAAAATTCATATTTTATGAAAGTTTACTACATCTAAATCTCTATTTATAATATATGAATAATTGTAAATTATTATTGTAAATGTTTGATTGACTGTCATTTTATTTAGATAATTTTTTCGTTCACATATATATTATAATAACATCATTTCATCAATCTTACTGATTAAATAAATGTGATCAATATTGATTAAAATGTACCTTGAAATCTCTGTTACTAATTCACTAATTAATGTATATCCTATATTACTTTTATTCAATGTAAATTTTACTTTTATTATTCCTCTTTTATATTTATCATATTTATATCTTTGTAATTATTGCTAAATGCGAATATATTTTTTATTATTTAAAATCTTTTAATTTAATGATAAAAATAAGTTGTAATAAGTTTATAAAAAATATGATTGAACTTTATTACTACAATGAATTATTCGATTTCGAGATCAATTGCAAATACATAGAATCTATGATTAACTTTATGAGTGTGCGTATGATTCACTAGTGCTATGTAGTTTTAACTGGTACAAAAGCGTCACGCTGTCTACACGTCCAGAAAGCTCCGTACGTAATATAATGTGTATAGCGGGATATGGCATTCCTATTCAACTGCACTCAACCTAATATTCTAACGGAAGTTATAAAATAAAATCAATTAGAAATATAGAGAATAAATGTGCCGGTAATTTACAACATCAAAAAGCCATTAAAGTATATTAATTTAAATAGAAGAAAATTATCTCTATCGAATAACTACATTTCTAAGGATTAGTTATCAGTTTTGCTTTAATTACTTGACAATTTTGCTATCATGCAGATATTCAATTTTTTGTTATTTCCTAAAAAATAACTCCTTTATTGATTTCTTTTTGTAATTGACAATAATTTTTTTGCTAGTAATTTAACTGAAATTATTTTTAGTGTTTTCTTCAAATTTTTAAAATGAAAAATTCTAGAAATCATATAGAATTTTGAAAATCAAAAGATACTTGGATAAATAAATATAGGAATTATTGAGGCATTAAAAAATTCTCTGAAACTTCTATTCACAGATGAAATACGTTGATTCTCATAACAAAGGTGCAAATTAGTATAATTAGACTACATTGTGAATTTCAGTAAACTCCAGTTATTAAATGAGAAAGTATCTTAACAACTACTCTAACTACAGTATTCTGTAAAGGTGTAACTGCTATAAAAGTATACCTCCAGATTGAAGCCTAGACCTACATGGTCTCTTCTCTCTTTATTCTTCTTTTCTAGTCTCTTATTCTTTATTTTATGAGTTGCATTTCTTCTCTCTTTGGTCATAAAAATAAATAGCATTCCTGGCGGGCGCTTTGGTCCGTTTGATGACCATTAACCACATGGTCGTTCACTTATACCTTTATAATTAACAAAACATTTAAACCTTCTGCTCATTAATTTTCTCGTTATGTTTCTTTCGTGAGATCATACTGGAAAACATGATTATATGTGTTCATGGTATAAAACACTCTAATGCGAAATGCGTAATTCGACTTGGCAGTCGTAAAAGCTATAGCATCATTAAGTTATTGCCGGAAAAAGAAAAATAAAGTTGTTGAATTCTGATTGGCTTTGTTAGTTTTACTCCTGAGATTCAATTAACTTTTGGATAATGTGATAAATAGTCATAAAAAATTAAGGTAAATAAATTTTTTTTTTATGTTATAAATTGCATTTTAATCTATTTTTAATGAAAAATTTAATAAAAAAACGAAACAAAACGTGCTAGTGGCTTCAAATTGCTGATAAATGGACATCTGGAAAGTGTCATAAAGATCATAAGAGTTCGAGTAGTAAAGTGAGTTTGTGTTTAACAAAAAAAAGTTGGTGATTCCCGCGATTAAAGACCGTGGAATCGATTGTGTCACATTGGTTCTTTGACGTCAACTTTTCCGTACCGATTACTCAACTTGATCTAGCAATTTTGAACTCTATATGCCGTTAACCTAATCTTCATCGATTGATCCTTGTTAATATTCAACTTGTGATGATCTTTGATGCATTGTCGACATTCCACACGGTAGAAACATCTGTTGGCAGTCTTTTAAATATATCGGTCACACGGAAGACCAAATCAACGTTCTTTGCACTAATAATTACTCGTGGTTATTCATTTTATAGGTTATAGATTGGATACCATGAGCGCGTATACACACACACTTGGTATTTACTGACATGATATTGTGAGACGCAATAAATTGATTTGAGATATCGATGGATGACCACAAATGCAGGTGTTCACATACCGATATTAACTTTCAATTCGATTCTGGTTAATGCAGAAAATGATGCAATTTCAAATGGAGGTGACGAGATATATATATGTGTACATTTACGCAGTTGACAAGACATTCACTGTTATTTTTTTTTAATATGAATTAATACTGTCTAATTACAGAATTGTACATACTAGTTAAGAACAATCATTTTCTGATGAAACCTTCATTCGTGTTCAAGCCTCTTATGGAGGGAGTATTTAAAAGATCGTTTAAATTCTTTGAAATAATCATTTAATTTATTCAATTTTCCTCATATTGAATGTACGATTATGTCATCTGAATTTTCCCAGATTTTTTCCTCTTTTATTCTTTATCAGCTGCTCTGATTATTTTTTGGAGTCATTTTTAATTAATCAGCTTTTTTAAATCAATGAATACATTTACATGGTTAAAACTGAGTCAATGTTTTATTTTGTTATTCCTGTCTAGTATACACAAATCTAAATGTCTAAGTCAGATCAGGGTCACTGTTTAGAAAATAGCAGAAGAATAAAAGTAAAAAAAGAAGATGAAAACAGCATAAAAAGCACAGCTTTATTATGTTTGACTTTTTTATATTCACAAATAAACAGTAAATAATTTGTTCGAGCTAATAAAACAGAAACTTTCATTTACTAGTATCCAATTTTGTTTTATTTTATAAATGTTTCTCTAAAATATTAGATAAAGAAATAATATCATAAAATGAGTCTTGGTTTTGGGCGTCTATATCAAAGAATAAATTGAGTTCAGCTAACTAGCTTGATAAATGAATTGTCAATATTACGTAAAGATAAATGAAAAATGTTTGTAAACGAATACAAGACGTTTGTCAATTTTTCAAACGATTTGTGTGTCTAGACACGGTACACAAACAGTCGCGACACTTGCGTTCTCCTTGCTTCATATTTCCACTTAATTCAAAAGTTGATTCACCGTAACCGATTTAGCTTGAACCCACACGCAATGAACACACTTGTCTCAAGACATCGTGCACCAATACTCATAAATTTGGCCGATAGACGAAACAACCCTGAGAGGGCGGAGA